ACCTCTACCCATGGTCCTTCTGTTTCTGTGGAACAGCCCCTCTGACCCCAGACGCCTGTGCATATCCGAGAAGGGCATCTGAGCACCAGGAAGCCCCTCCTGCACTCTCTACCCCAAGGGAGGTTGTTCATCCTGTCCCAGAATCTCCACTGCAGGCATCTGTGAGAAGTTTCATCTTAAATCTCCCAGAAATTTGCAGGAAATTTTCAGCCCCTGAGAGGCAAAGTGCTTTTGGTGGCCTGAGGAAATAGCAAACCCAAGGGCTAGTTTTATGCTTGGTCTTCTTTAGGGCTTGCCAGCATGGAGCTTTTTAGGGCTGCCTTCTTTGCTCTAGGCTCACTGGGTAGTGGCTATGAGGTAGAGCTGTGTTTGCTGCATGTCTTTGGAGCAGTCTTGTCAGATGGGACATCCTCCCTGACCTGGGGATAGCCCAGGAGGACCTGGGGTTGGCCCGTGAGGAAGAGGTGTATGCCTGTGGCTACTTTTCTCTTTGGAGTCTTCCACTGACCTGATACGTTGAGGCACTTATGTGGTCTTTCTTCTGTAGTTTTTATGGGTCAAGAAAAGTTTCCGGGAAAAGAGGATGCAGTCAGGTAAAGAAGAGGAAGCTGTCTACGCTTGGGAATTGGCCCAGGATGAGCTTTTTGCCTGGATGGATTCTTCAGGTGCAGTGCAACCCGGGAGCCTATGTCCTCTTAAGTGTCATTGTTCTTTCAAGGACTGGGCACTGCTGCCTGCCTTCTCTGACTCGTGTGTGTGTGTGTGTGTGTGTGCCATGTGACCAGCACTTATGGGCTGGAGCTTTCTCCCTTCTGACCCATCCTGGTGTTATCCACTGAGGAAGAGTGCTAAATGCTAAAGCAACATACCCATGTTAGCCATCTTGTCCTCTGTCCCCTCGTCCCCAAACTGGCTCCTGCAATTCCTGCTTGGGGCTTGCATTTTCATTAGCTGGGGGAAGACTTGCAAACGGTCAGCCTTATTCTTTTTGAGGCAGGATAATCCCTATGCTTGTGAGAGAAAGCGCAGATGGACAGAGGCAGATAGGCACGTCTAGGCAGAAAGACCTTGTTCTTTTGATCTGAAGCTCAGAAAGTTTGGCAGACTTACACGTGAGTATTGGGTTGTGTTCTTGTCTCTGTGCCTGCCTGAGGATCTGGGAAAGGCTTCTCTGTGGAAAGGTCTATGACATATGGGGGAATGTGCTTCCTGGAGAGAAGCAGCCTTCCTCAACACTGTTAATAACTAGTCCCATGAAGATGTGAACTGCCCCAGAGATCCAGCCCAGGACTTGGGAGTTTCCAGCCCTCCTTTCTGCCAGAGCACCTAGGATAGGGAGGCCCTGCCTTCCCAGGCATTCCCCCAGCCCCAGCCCCCTCAGGAATGTGCAGCTTTTCTCTCTACTAGCTTAGACCACAGAGTTCTAAAGCTCAAAGGGATATTGGGATGCTGAAGGGGACACTGGAAATAGGGTGGGACTGGGGTGGAGAGTCTTGGGAGTGTAATCTTTTCCAAGGAAGTTCAGGCCCCTCACCCCTTGCCACTACCTAAACTGGTTTCTCCTGATCTGCTAGGCCGCCGTGGTTGTACTTTGTGAATTATGGTGCGCTGGCTGTCTCAGGGACCTGGGAAAGAAAGGAGTGATTTGACTATGCACAACTCCTACCCCGTTTTGGGGTGGTCCCACATTTTCTGGGTGCAGCACACTGTCATGAAACTAATAGAGTTTGGGGTGCTTCCATTTACAGAGTGCCAGGTGCCAGCCAGTACTGGAAGCCACCTTGTTGCCTTCATCTGGACATGGGCAGATGAAGTGAGCAGCCAGGGAATGGCCACTGAAGGCTCAGAAGTGAGTCACTGTGGTCTGGGCCTGGAAGTTATCTTTTGATTTTTCTGCTGCCTTTAGGCAGGAGACTTAGTCCAGACAGATGAGTATCTTTTGGATCTTCAGAGGAAAAAAAAAAGGGGGGACAGCTCAGTCATTAATAGCAGCTGGCAGTAGCATCCAACAGCTCTCTACCTCAGAATGTCTAGCCAAAAATTGAGACAGGATTGCCTTGTTCAAGCTCCTCATTTTACAAATGAGGAATCTGAGGCCCAGAGAGGGCATAGGCTTGGTCATTACTCCTAATTTGACCTCTTAACGAATGACCTCCTATCCTTGGCCCTTATGGTTGCTCTGCCTTTGAAGAAAGAGAAAATGGTCAACTTTTCTCCAGAACCGTGCCTAGTGTGTGGTGTACTCAAGGACTGTTATTTATTTGGCCTGCTCTTAATGACAACTCCTTACCTACCTGCCCAGTCCTAGGAGGAGCCCTGGGCTGGAATTTCCTGTTTTCTGCGGGCTCCCAGGGGCTGCCCCAGCAGGCCTGCTCCCCTGCTCCACCGATCCTAGGTGTTCCAGGCCAGACTTGCCGCCTCTCTCGCCTGACTGGGCTTGCTCCCAGCCGCTCCAGGTCTGGGCTTGCCGGCTGCGAGGTGGAAGAGTTGAGGGACTCGGTGGGCCCACACCAGGTGCCCAGAGGCCGGAGGTCTGTGCACCCCGGCTGCGGGCCCGGCCTGGGCCCAGCCCCGCGCCCCTCGCCATGGGCCTGGCCCTCGCCATTGGGCCCTGAGCATGGAGCGGGGCTGGCCGCCCGGGGACAGCTACAGCGGGGAGCGGCCCTCCGCCTGCCGCCGCGCCCTCAGTGTTTGCGACTCGCTGGACCTGCACGGCGCCCCGGCCGGCCGGACCGCCGCCGCCCTGCAGGCCGCCCTGTGCGTCGCGAGCGAGCAGCCGGCGCGGCCGCGGAGCGTATGCTCGGGCAGCTCGGGGCCGGCCCCCACCGGTGCCCGTGGCCTGCTACTTGGCCTCCTGCGCCCGCGCTTTGGCCGCCGGAGCCCCGCGCCCTCGGGGCGGCCCGGCTCTCCCGCACCCAGCCCAGTGGCCAGCCCCACGGCCAGCCCCGCTCCGGTCCGGCGCAGCCGTGCCCCCGGGGAGCCTGCGCTTCGGCCGCGGCCCACCAGCATGACGTTCCTGGAGGTGAACCGTCTGGAGCTGGCGGCGGCCGAGGCGCCGGGCGCGGGGCTGGGGCGCGCCGGCAGCGCGGGCTTCCTGCGAGGCGCATCGCTGTGGAGCAGCCAGCGCTGGCAGGTGTTCCGCGGCAGCGGCGGGCGCGGCGCCGAGGGTCCCCGGCGCGGTCTGTCGGCGCTGAAGAAGAGCTTCAGCTTCCGTCTGCGCCGCGGCCAGGAGATCCGGCGCTCCGAGTCGGGGCTGCTGGCCCGGCCGCCCCGCGCGCGCACCCGCAGCGACGGCGACGCCAGCTCCCTGGGCGCGTTTTCTAGCCGCCGCGACCTGCTGGGCGCCGAGGTCCCAAGCGCTGCGGCAGAGTCCAGCCGCCCCCGCGCCGCCGCCAGCCTCTGGAGGCTGCTCACCAGCCGCTTCCGCCGGAGGGAGCCCGCGCCCGCCGCGCCACTGTGGAGCCGCAGGGCGGCCGCCGCCCCCGGGCTCCTGAGCGCGCCGAGCGGTAAGGGGATGCAGCGCCTCCTGGGTGGCCTTTCTGGTTGAAGTCTGGCAGAAAACTGAGGGCTTGAGTGAGAATCTGCCGGGAACCCACCTGGTCAAGGCAGGCGCGCCGTGTGGGCCTGGAGTAGATGGGTCCCTCCAAGTGTCATCAGTGCTGCAGTTGGTATCTGGGGTCATCAGCAGTGTCCAGAAGAGATGGCAGTGGGAAAGGAGGAATCCAGGCCAGAGCAGGCTATGGCCCTGCCCGAGCATCCTAGAATAGGAGAGTAGGAAGGGTTCTAGTTCACATCCCCACCCCCTTATTTGGCACATGCACAATTGAGGCCCAGGAAAGGAAGGTGCTCTGTAGAGGCAGATTTCTCTAGGCTGGACTCGGCAGCTTCCTAGCTCCTGGTCTGGGGTTGACCTCTCACTGTGAGGGGACCTGGTTATGATAACTACTCTGAAACAATCTGGGGGCAGTGTGTCTGGGAGCCAGGGAGAAGCAGGGCTGCCCAGACAAAGGCCAGCCCAGGCTGGGCCAGCAGGAGCTTGCTGGAGGCTGTAGGTGGAAACTTGGAGGGCAAAGGAGCTGGGGGCCGGCCATCAGAGGACAATGGTAGCTGGCAACTTCCCTTCTCTGTGAGAAGCCCTGCCTGACTCAGGGGCTAGTGGTGCTGGAAGTGTTTGAAGGGAAGGGAGTCTGGAGGTGGGCCCCCAGCTAAGGAGGAGCTTGGGAAAGGGATTGGGCAGGGCAGAGTAGATATGGCCTCATTGGACCTGCCTCTAGAACAGGGCCAGGTAAGGCTACTCCCTCTTCACTCTGGCTCAGGAATGCAGTGGGTGGCCCCACCCTGCCAAGGGTGAGCAGTTCCTACTTGCAGGAGGCCAGCCCCTCTGCCAGATGCTCTGCCCATTTTGGGTCTGGTCTGAGACTTGTTGGAGTGGCCTCTAACCTGGATGAGAGGTACCCTGAAACTAGCCAGGTGGGCCCCAGGTGGGTATTACCTGCTGGAGCATGAAGAGGAAAAAGAGGGATACAAGTCTAAGGCCAGAGAGGACTGAGACTGAGCCCTTAGTCTATTCCTAAAGATTGACTTTGGGCCGGGAGTGATGGCCCATGCCTGTGATCCCAGTGGCTAGGGAGGCTGAGGTAAGAGGATGGTGAGTTCAAAGCCAGCCTGAGCAACAGTGCGGTGCTAAGCAACTCACTGAGACCCTGTCTCTAAATAAAATACAAAATAGGGCTGGGGCTGGGGCTCAGTGGTCAAGTGCCCCTGAGTTCAATCCCTAGTAAACCCCCCCCCCCAAAAAAAAAAAAAAAGATTGACTTTGGCTTAGAAAGAATCTTCCTGCTGCTCCCTAGGGAACTAGGGGTGAGGTTCAAGGTCTCATGGAAGACAGTGCTATCCTCTGGCCTTGGCCAAGAAGAGACATTATAGGACACACTGGTGGTGGCAGTTAAGACAGGTGTGTGTGCCACAGTGGCCCTGATGGGGTGGCTCTGTCTTCACAGATTCATTTGTGAACAGTCAGGAGTGGACCCTGAGCCGCTCTGTGCCGGAGCTTAAAGTGGTGAGTGGGCCCGAGAGAGGCCCTGGCAGTTCTGTGGCTGGGTGGGACAGGTTTAGAATGGTGGGCCTGGGCTTGGCTTCTTCTGATCCTCTTCCCTCCCCGTGGCCCGCCTTCTCCCTTCAGCCCTGGTCTTCTCCCTGATGCCTCTGATCATTGCTTTGCCCCTTCCTCTCCTGCAGGGCATAGTGGGGAACCTGTCTAGTGGGAAGTCAGCCCTGGTGCACCGCTATCTGACAGGGACCTATGTCCAGGAGGAGTCCCCTGAAGGTGAGCTGTAAGGCCAGCCTGGCCCAGAGACTGGCCACATGGACCTTTTCTCCTCCACACTGTGGGCCCCTTTCCTTTCCCATCCTCCTGTCTCCTCCACTGGGAGCTTAGGTTTCTGCTTTGCCTGGCCCCTATGGGCCCTTCCTCCAAATTTGGTCCTGACTCTGCACTCCATCCTAGGGGGTCGGTTTAAGAAGGAGATTGTGGTGGACGGCCAAAGTTACCTGTTGCTGATCCGAGATGAAGGAGGCCCCCCTGAGCTCCAGGTGATGCTCCTGCCGGGGCCCTTGGTTTCTGGTTGGGACTGGGCAAAGTTGTGTGTCTGGGGACAAGAGCCTGTTAGGATCCTCCGTCCCTTGGCCCTCGCAGTGTGGGAGTCTGCAGGCCCAGGCGAGTGTGCTAACTCTGCTTGGTCTCCCTAGTTCGCTGCCTGGGTGGATGCGGTGGTGTTTGTGTTCAGCCTGGAGGATGAAATCAGCTTCCAGACAGTGTACAACTACTTCCTGCGGCTCTGCAGCTTCCGCAATGCCAGCGAGGTGCCCATGGTGCTAGTGGGCACACAGGGTGAGGCGGGGCCTGCCTGAGTCTGCAAGGGAGCAGGGGTTGGGCCAACCGAGCCTGGGTGGGCAGGGGCAAGTAAGCCCCCAGCTTCCACTCCCTTCTCAGCCCCTCCCATGTTGCCTGGAGCCCAGGGCTTCTTCCTCGCTCTTCTCCCCCTAGTCCTGCAATCGTGTGACTGTCATGTCCACGTTTTTTGCCGTGAATGAAAGACTCAGAGGTTAAGTGGCCAGCTCATTTTTACTTCATAATAGCAAAATGAAATGAAGCCCAGACTCTGCATTCCTAGGCCTGTATAGCCACCCCACTCCCCTGTCCCGAGTGACGCCTCCCCTCCTACAGACGCCATCAGTGCCGCCAATCCCCGCGTCATCGATGACAGCAGGGCCCGCAAGCTCTCCACAGACCTGAAGCGCTGCACTTACTACGAGACGTGCGCTACCTACGGGCTCAACGTGGAGCGCGTCTTCCAGGACGGTAACTTGGGCCCCTGAGCGGGGTGCAGGAAGGTTCCCTGGCAAGCAGGGTTGTGTTTCGCAGGGAGGCGCCGAGCTGGGGTTTCTACCCTTCTACCTTTCTCCCCAGTGGGTATAATTGATTCTGCTGTCCCCTGCAGTGGCCCAGAAAGTGGTGGCCTTGCGGAAGAAGCAGCAGCTGGCGATCGGGCCCTGCAAGTCCCTGCCCAACTCGCCCAGCCACTCGGCCGTGTCCGCTGCCTCCATCCCAGCCGTGCACATCAACCAGGTGCGGCCACTGACCCTGTCCCTGGACCTGTCTGTGCATCCCAGTGCCCCCTCTGCCGCCTTCTCACACTTCTCTGTTGGCTTCCCTCCGCCTCCTGTTCCTGCATGTGGCTTGCATTCCATTTAGCCTGCATGATTGGCCTTGGCCTCAGCTCGGACACATGGTGACTGCCTTCCCTGCTCCTGTATTTCACCCTCCGCTCTCCATTGTCTCCCGCCAACCATCAGCTAAGATGGCACAAACACGTGTTCTAGTGAGCCTTGTTAGCATTGTCTCGGGAGCTGTGTCCTGTGGAAATCGTACTCTGCTGGCACAAGGAGGAGAGGCCTGCTGGGCATTCACCCTTGGCCACACTGGCCTGACCCCTGCTCTTTTAGGTGAGCCCCTTTGTGGCCAGCAGCTGCAGTACTCTCCTTCTGAGAGGAAGAGGCAACAGATGGCCTCGTGTCTGCTGAGCACAGAGGCTTGCCCCGTCACCTTCTGGGAGTGTCTATATTTTAGAAGGGCAGCGCTTGCTCCGAGTGGTGAATGTTCTTGGTGCTGTGTGGAGTATGGGGTCTTCTGAACCAGGTCCTGTCAGGGCCCCTACAATAATGCACTTGGATGCTTGTCCACACCTGGGCCTGTTGATAGGTCAGTTTTCCACCTTGGCATGTGGGCCAGTGCTTGGTTCTTCAGCTGCATTCACCACTTTACTGCCCTCTGCTGCAAGCCCTGGGCCATACATGGACAGGCTCAACGGAGCGGTCAAGCTTACAGCCACTGTACTTTCCAGCGTCAGCCTTGTTGCAGTTCCCTGTCCCTTTAGGACTTGTGAGAAGGTGCTGGAATTCCCATCATTAACCCTCTTAGGAGAGAGGAGGAGGGGTGGGTCTTTCTTCACATTCTTTGAGAGCAGCTGCACCCTGCCCTGGTAGCTCTGCTTGGTGGCTCCTTAGGCTTACCGTAGAGTTTGAGGAGGCAGGTGCTCAGGCCAGGTGCTGTGCTCAGAGCAGGTGGGTGCAGGCCTCTGGTCTTCCGAGTCCTGGAGCAGGCCCTTTGGTGCACTCCACCTGTGAACTTTGTCGTTTCTTTTCCCTTCCCTTCTCTGTTCCCACCTGAAGCTGACTCTGGTAGTCCAGTCCGTTCTGCTCTTTGCTCTGTCTCTGTCCCTGCCACACACATGCTCAGAGCAAATCTTAGACCCCTCAGCATCCACCTCCTGGCCTCTTTCCAAGGTGTCAGATGTGTCTGACTTTAGGGTCCATCCGAGGTGAGCTGCTCCCTGTTCCAGATCACCTGCTAGCAAGGGCTCCACAGTTCCTTCACTTCCAGGCTGTGTCTCTGACTTTGGCCTGCTGGTCCTCAACTCTGATCTAGCTCCCTAGTCGGTGCAGAAACCCTCCTTTCAGGACTCCAGGACAAAAGCTAGTGGGGCAGCTCCGGTGGCACATTGTAGCAGTGGCAACTGGACCCTCCTGGCCTCCTCATCCCTCCAGCTCCTCTCAACACATACTGTTAGGACCCAGTGGTGCCTCTGTCACTGTGCGCCCCTAGCCAGGCCAAGAATTCCTGGCACCTGCCTGCTACCCAGTATCCCTCTCCGCCCCGCCCCAGAGCCACTTCAGCAGCCCTCTTTGTCCTTAGGCCACCAATGGCGGCAGCAGCGCCTTCAGCGACTACTCGTCCTCCGTCCCCTCAACCCCCAGCATCAGCCAGCGGGAGCTGCGCATCGAGACCATCGCTGCCTCCTCCACTCCCACGCCCATCCGCAAGCAGTCCAAGCGGCGCTCCAACATCTTCACGGTACGTGCCCCGCCCTCCTCCCTGCCCAGCTGCTGCCACTGCACAGGCAGGGCCGAGCACCAAGCTCCCACCAGGAGGGCACGGGCAGCCCCCGTCAAAGGATGCCACCTGCAGCCTCTCACTCGAGGACACACATGGCTTCTAGAGGCCCCTCACTGGGCCCTCAGAATCTCTAGACTGTTCCTCTGAGCCCACGAGGGGCTTCCCTTCACGGCTCGCACCATGCCCCCAGCCCACCGTCCGACCCCCTGTGCACACGCTCCCCTGCAGCCTCCTTCCCTCCCAGCCCCGAGGGTTTCTGTGTCATCTTGAAGGGATCTTTGGACTGGTGGCCTAACTCCCCTGACCCCCTTTGATTCAACAGCTAATGAACCGGAGGCCAGAAGGCTGTTTGCCCAAGGCGACACAGAGGGTTAGCTGGCCGAGCTAGAGTCAGAGCCAGGCCTCCCAATCCGCCTTCCGGCTCTTTTTCCGTTACCCCACTGCCGAGGGGAACATTCATGCTTCCCACCCACCGCTGTGATTGGTTTAACAAAGGCTTAGCCATCTTTTCCTGGGCTTCACCACGCTGCCTCGTGCCTCCCGCTCAGGTTTGTCCTGTCTCCTTGTGAGCTACTTGCCCCTCCCCACCAACCTCATGTTCCCACCCAGAGTGGGGCATACCCCCTGCTCAGGGCCAGCCCCTCAGCTCGTGGGCCTCTGAGCCTGGTGTCCCTCCACTCCCAGTTTTTATACACTGTGTTCTCCCCAACTCTGGCCCTCCTGCTGGGCTCTGGCTGGACTGTTCCTGGAGTCTTGGCCAGACAAAGGTGGGTGAGCGGCCTGTCCCTCTGCGTCACTCCATGCGCCTCTTTCTGAGAGCCAGGGCTTGGCTCTTGGCTTGGGCCTGAATCCAGCCAGCCAGGCCAGATTCTCTGGACCCTGCCAGACAGAGCCAGTGCCCCAGGCTTTGCTCCTGTGTCCTCGCCTCTGCCCTGCCTGCACACCGCCCCCTGCTGGCTGCCTGCCTCCGCGCACCGCGCCTGCCCTGCGCGCTCACAGACCTCTCTGTGGCTGCTGCCGCCCACTGCACTTGCCCAGCCCTGACCCTCTCACACCTGCAGCTTCCTGCCTCTGTTCTATTCATTGAGATGCTCGGAGCCTTTGTGGCCACCTGCTTGTGCCCACACCCGCTGCTGTTGCTGCTGTAGAACCCTGGGGTACCTGTGTCACGGTGACCGCTATTGGCACCCTGCTCCCCAGCATTGTGCCTCAGTCATCCCCTGCCTGGATTCCATTCTTAACCTCCCATCTTCCCCTACTGGCTGGTTCAACCCCAGGGCACCCTCCGCCTCCCTCCTGCACCCGCCACCCTGGCTCCACAGCCTCCTCGGCGGCGTTCTGTGCTCGCTCCATGTGCGCCTTGCTGCCTGCCTTCCTCAGCTGTGCTGCTTCCTGCGCCCCTTTCTGCTGCAAGCTCATAGCACGGCCTTCCCTCCAGGCCCTTCCATTCTCTCCATCTTCACAGTGGCGACCTTATTTTTTCTCTCCATCATTTCCATGGTGACTTCACTTGCGCCATTGTCCCTGAGGCGGCCTCAAGGCATGTCCGTCTCTATGGGGTATCTTGGGGCCTCCCCCCATCATCGCTGTTGGGGCCACCCTTCTCCCTCATCAAACCTGCTTGAAGGGGCGCCCTGTGTGTCCTGCCTGCTCTATGGCTGGTGACCCCACGCGGGGATGGGTTTGACATCCCCAGTCTCCCCCATGACTCCATGTACTCATTTGTTACCACTCTTGCCCCTGTTCCTGTCCTTCATGGGAGAGGTGCCCCTCTGGGCTCCTGGGGTCCTCTGGAGGTTGGCAGCCTCTCGGCTCACCAGCCTGGCTGGGGCGGGCTGGACCCTGCTCCCCAACTAGCATTTCTGTCTGGGGACCTGGTGGCAGCAGTTTCACCCACCTTCCTCTTCCCTGGGCCAAAGGGGCAGAGGGCTGTGGCGGTCCGGGCTGTAAAGCCCAGGAGGGGACTGGGGACAGGTGCTGACCTGGAGCTGCCGGGTGGCAGTTTACTCTCCGGTAGCTCTTTGCCCAGTTCTTCCTGCTCCCTCTGGCTGTGCTTTCTCCCACACTGCAATTGCAGTCCTTTGGCCCCTCTCTGTGCCCTTGGCTCCTGGCAGCCTGGGAGAACAGGAGGGATGGGCCCAGGCCTCCGAGTGGTGGACATTCCCTTCTGAGATGGACTGCTGGGCCACATCTGCCCAGTGGGTGCAGCCGCCGCCTCCTCCTCCTCCTCCTCCTCCTCCTCCTGCTCCTCCTCCTCTTCATCCCGCTGCCGCCTCGCCTCTCCCCAGGCGCCTGGGTCTCTGCCCTCACCAGTGCTGACCGACTTGTGCGGGGCTTGAGTATAACTTGCCAAAATCTTTATTCTTTCGATATTTGCAGATATGTGCCACTGTTTCCAACTTTTCATCAACAAAAAGGCCTTTCCAACTCCTTCCAAATTAGAAGACCAGGTGGTGACACACAGCACCTCTGGACATTCCCCCTGTGCGGGGCCGGAGGCGGGCCGGGCCCTGGGACTGCTCTCAGATGAGAAGCGGCCGCCGAGCTCCCCGCTCCAGAGACCCACAGGAACCTTTGTAACTAACCCCACCCCCAGGGAAGGCTAGGAACGCTGGAGCCCGTGCTGGGGGCTGCCGGGGACCAGGCCCGGCTGGACACTGCGCCAGGCTCGCTGCATGGAGAAGAAGGGAGCTCGGCCCCACGCCGGCCGGCCAGCGCGACGAGGCCCAGAGGGGCGGGGGCGCCGAAGCCCGCTGGCCCAGCTGCTCCTGGGGGGAGCTTTCCTGCCCCTCCCCTCCTCTGCTCCTTCCTGCATGGACTTCTGCCGTTCCTGCTCCTGCTCCAGAAGCCGCCGCCACCGCGCTTGCCTTGCCCCCTCTTTTTGGCCTCCCCCTATTTCCTAGGATCCGCATTTGGGTGGACTCTGCCCCAGGAGCTTGGCAGGGCGCAGGGCCTCTTCTGGCCTCTCTCCTCTCTCTCTCCATCCACTGTGCCCTCGGGCCACGCCGACACGCTCGGTGCCACATGCCGCGTGGTGTCTGCGCCGCAGACGGTCCACCGTCCGCTCACTTCTGGACTTTGCTCTCCCCGGTTGTCGTGCCCTGTGCTCCTGGCCAGCCCTCAGCCCCACCAGCCACCTCTCCTGGCCCCTCCCTTCTCTTACACCCCAGCCCCCCGGGCTGTGTGCTCCTCCCACCCTCGGTATTTCGTGTCCTTGCTCTTTTGGGAGGGTGGGGCCCGGATCAGTGACCTGTGCTGCTCTGTATGGTGCCGTGTGTAAGAATAAACCCGTTGGAATACTCGTGGTCTCAGTTCCTTCCCGGTCCCGCCGCCCCTCTGCTAGGGCTGCCCAGGAGGAGGGAATAAGGCGGGAGGGCTGGGAACTCCAGGCAGCTCTCTGCCCAGGCCCTGAGCCGCTAACCCGCCTCTTCTTCTCTCTTCCAGTCTCGAAAAGGTGCTGACCTGGACCGGGAGAAGAAGGCTGCAGAGTGCAAGGTGGACAATATCGGGAGCGGCAGGGCCATCCCCATCAAGCAGGTCAGCACTTGCTTTCCCATGGGCTCAGGGCAGCTGAGAGTGAGGCCCCAGAAGTGCTAGTGGGTGGTTCTTCTTGGGGCCTCTGTGATGAGGGAGATGGTGTAAGGGGTGAGTTTCTTCCTCTCAGGCACAAGTTCTTATGCAGGTATAAGGGTCCATGCTTCTATTCAGAAACCCAAGGCCCAGCAGCCTCTTCCCCATGCTGCCTCCTTTGGGCCAGCAGCTCTGCCTGTTCTTGCTCATCACCACCAGGGGGCAGCAGAGAGCTACCTGCTGCCCTCAGTTGGTGGCTCCCAGACCTGCTGTTTCTGAGGTAATGGAGCTTCTGGTCCATGGGCTAAGGAAGAGAGTTCTTGAGAGTAACCTGAGGAGAATGCATGGAAGTGGGTTCTGAGGATGATCCCACCTGAGGGCCATTGGCTCAGTTTTACCAATTTGAGCTTCTTCGTCTTTTTTTTTTTTTCCTTGATGGTGTCGGGGTGGAAATCCAGGGCCTAATTCATGCAAGGCAAGCACTGTACCACTGAGCTACATCAGCCCCTGTGTTCAATTTTGAGACAGGGTATAAGTTGCCCAGGCTGGCCTTGAACTTACAGTCCTCCTACCTCAGCCTCCTGAGTAGCTGGGAGTACAGGCATGTACTACACCCAGCTTACCTCTCATCATTTTCAAAGAAAACAATTCAGTGGAGATGCCATCCCCCTCTGTCTCTACCCCACTTCCTTTTGGAGTTACCTCCTGAGAGTTCTAGTCCACCTAATCTTGGTTCTCCCAGACCTCCTGTTGGGGGTTCTGGTGCCAGAAAAAAAACCAATCTATGAGGGTGTCTTGGCCAGAGGTGGAAGTATGTAGGGTAGGTGCTCTGCAGCTGCGGGGTGGGTGGGTAGAATGCAGAGGTGTCTCTTTGGAGCATGGGCAGGAGCCTCAGGACCTAAGGTGCCAGTGAGGGCTGAGCTGGTGGTTAGTCTGCCGTTCCCTTCTGCTGCTGACTTGAACCTTGGGATCTGGTGATTGCACAGCTTGTGTCTACAGGGGCCAAGTTGCCAGGTTTGGGCCCTAGAGGGAACCCGTATGGCCAGAGCTTAGCCAGGGCCTATGTTCCGGTTAGGCCCTCCTGGGTTGGGACTTGGGATTTACGTAAGGATGGGAGTTTCTGATTCCCTATGAAGATCAATTTTGAATGAGGTGTCCAAGGAGATATGGCAGGGCCCTGGAGGGGGAGCCATGCCTTGATCTACATCTTGCCTTTTCTGCTTCACCTCTCTCTTGAGATGCTCATTGCACTTAGGTCTGGCAGGGACCACTGCAGTTGGGTTGGCCTCCTGAGGTCACCTGAGAAGGCTGGGAGCATGGACTGGCTGCAGAGTTTTTGCCTTCTCTTGTCTCCCAGGCACACGTTTTGGGGTGTGTGTAGAATCTGGTGACACATAAGCCGATTGGCCTCATGTGGTGAGGGGCCTCTTGCTAGGCATAGGCAGGTCAGCTCGGGTGGGAAAGGTGAAGGGAGGCGTGTTCAGTTAAGTCAGCAGGACGCCATTTCATCTGCCCACATCTTCCCGCCTGGGGCTTGTGTGACTGGGGGATGGTTATTTATTCCCCCACTGGATGGGTGAAGGGGTAGATGTGAGGTGGCCCAGGAAGCTGCACTCTGGGTTCCAGCCTGGAGTCAGCTGGGTCACTTGAATATTACTTGAGACTGTTCTAGGAGGCCCCTCCCGTGGCCAGCCTGGGGCGGTCCTGCCTGCGGTGGGCGGTCCTCGAGGCTGCCTGCGCTGCTGATGCAGGCCGCGATCCTGCTGCTTCCTTTGGGGTGCGCAGGCCCAGGCCCATTCCCGCAAGATGGGCCTTTACCGGTGGGGGCCGGCCCTGCTCGCCTCCCCTCCCAGCGGCCTGGCAGCCTCACCCAACCAGACTGGTCCCACCCGCCAGGTCCGCGCCCTCCCTTTCCCCCCTCCTGCCCCGGTCTCCCCGTTTCTGTTCCTTCCCCTCCCCCCAGCTCCTGCTGGGAGTGGAGATTGCATTTCAGTTGCCATTTGCATTCCCAATCAATCCGGACTCCGCAATTAAGTCGGCTGGCGGAGCTGGGAGGGAGGCGGCGGCGGGAACGGGTCCTCTGGGGGCTGTCGCCTCCGCACCGCTCCCATTCCGTCCCAGATTGCTTCCTGCTCCGCCGTGCGCAGCCGGCCGGCCAGGGAGGGGAGCAGGAACCCTGTGGCTCCTTCGCTCTCGGAGCACGGGCTGGGGCAGGAGTCCTGGGCGGCAGGCAGGTGAGAGGTGGGCGGGGCGTGGGCCGAGGGCGAACCTGCCCGCAGCTCCGCTGGGCGAGCCCTGGGCCCTCCGCCCACACCCTCAGCTAACGAGCCTCATTACCACGCCGGCTGCCTACCTGCCTGTCCCCAGAGGCGGCCAGGTGATGAAGGTGGAAAAGGGCATCCCTCCTAGACGAGGCAGCGTCTGCCTCCGATCCCTTTCGCAGGGAGGAAGGGGACCTAGGTAGGTCCCAGCAGGAGAGTCCCTAAGTCCACACTCCCGCCTTGTTGGAGAAAGCAGACCCAGAGGCAGAATGGTTTGTAGAATGTTACCGGCCAGCTGTGGGCAGAAAAGGGATGGAAGCCTGGCCTCCATCCCCAGGACTGGAAGCTGGGGCTGCACCGAGGGGAGAAGGTGAGGGCAGGCCCTGCTGGGTGTGGACTGAGGGAGGCTGGAGGCTGTGCACAAGCCCTAGGGGAAGGCTGGAGGGGAGCCACCCAGAGGGCAGGAGGAGAGAGTTCTGTGCCGAGGGGCAAGAAAGCTGGGCAGGAGTTCCATCCAGGACACCCACCCTGGGCTCAGAACAGATGTCCTCCATTCAGGAGGCTCTGCCTCAGCACGCCCACCTGGGAGGTTCCACCACAGTGCCCACTGGCACTTGGTCATTCTTCCTGCAGGAAGTTAGGGATAACTCCTGGTGTCTCCAGAGCCTAATGGCTGTTTGTCCTCACAGGCACCTGTTCTTGGGGCCCTGTGTTGAGGGGAGGGGGCGAGCGTGCAGCTAGACTATTTGCTTGGCTCTCAGCCACACTTGCCCTGGCCTGTGACGAGGACACTACATCCAGAGGCAGGTCATCAAGGCTCCAGACCCATCAGCCCCTCTTGTTTTCAGAAGCCCATTTTGAGGACAGGGTCTCCCACACTGATGGGGACAAGGAACGGGCTGCATCTTCAGAGGCCCACAGTGGCATTTGTCTCTTGAGGGTGGCAGGGGGAGGAGGGGACAGGCAAAGGAAGGAGGGGTGGCCAGGAGTGAAACAGCTGGAAGTGGGAATTACCAAGCTGCTTGCGCCTGGGTTGAGCGCCCTCCCTCACCTCCATCTCGCCTGGGCTGGAAGGGAGAGGTCCATTGGGAGCCCTTAATCAACCTTCCTCCTAATCTTACCCACTAGGGCTGAGCCTCATTGGAAGAACTAGAGGGGCAGGTACAATTCAGCTGGGTGCTTCCCTCCTTCATGGGAAGACAGAGGGTCTTCCTGCTTTCTCCTGCTGAATCTCCTCATGCCCACTCTCCTGGCCTCCATTCTTGCAGGAGAAGCCATTCCGGGGCTCCTGGCTGCTGCCTTCTGTATGTGTGGTCAGTGTCGTTCTCCTTCACCCCTGTGGGTGGAGCCCAGGGCGCAGCCCCCTGCTCTACCAGTCGTGTGCCCGCAGCCTTTCCTGCTTGGCCCCGGTGTGGGGGTCTGACCACATTCCCGCTCCCCCTGTGGGATTTTGGAATCTGCAGGGAGGGCTGCCTCTTCCCACAGCTCCTGAATCAGGCTGGGGGATCTGCCACCTGGTGTCTACCCACTCTGCTGTGTTGTCTATAGTTTCAGGGAACCAGCCAGAGCTGGGTGAGGGCGCCTTTTTGGAGTTGTTAGAGGAGCAGGTTTGTCAAGAGGGAGGCAAAGCTGGGGCTGGGGGTCTGGTTTCAACCCGGGGCACTTCACCTTCATCACCTGATGGCCGGGAAGCTTTCACCCAGTTCTGGGTCTGCTGTGGCCCAGATACTGTCCCAGGTGCTGAGAGTTTATCAGCAAGCAAAACACAGTCCTTGCCCTTGCGGAGCTTGTGTTTTCCATCGCCCCAGCTGACTGCCACCTTTAGAGTGACTTCCCTGCTTACTCAGGAAGTTTGGGGGGCTGAGATGGAAAGTTGGGGCTTCCTGGTGCTTTAGAGCGTGGGGTCTGAGGTGTTCTTGGGATACTTGGGGGTCTGTCTGCCCTGTGCAGGAATGCTGCAGGGGGTGGAAGGCCAGGCCCTGCAGAAATCTGCTGTTGTTCCACGACCATCTGTGGCGCCTCCTGGGTGGGAGCATCACTGCTGGACACCCTCTGAGTCTATTGCTGACGTGGCTGTGCAAACGGGGGCTGGGGGACACCAGGACAGCAGTCCAGGCCACTTCCTGGTCCGAGAGCAGAGTTCTGCAGGAGGATTGAGATTTAAAGGCTCTCTGCTCAGCCACATGGCTCAGGAGAAGGTGGGATGGAGGGTGGTGTCACGCAGTGACACTGTGCCTGCCTTCTCTGGTCAGACAGACCCCTTCTGGCCTCTGATTGGACCTCTGTCTTCATTGCCCCATGACACAGGGCTGGCTCCTGGCCTGATTAAATCTCTGTTCTTAGGGGATACTGTTGAAGCGGAGTGGCAAATCCCTGAACAAGGAGTGGAAGAAGAAGTATGTGACGCTTTGTGACAATGGGCTGCTCACCTACCATCCCAGCCTGCACGTGAGTCCAGGAGGAGGAGTGTGAGATGGGAGGAGCAGTAAGAGGTGGAGGGGGGGGTAACAGGATAATCTCTCAGTAATGATCTCAAATGGGTTTTCCGCTAAGAAGGAACTGCACTTTGGCTTGGGACAGGCACATGACCCAGGCCCTGCTGAGCCTCTGGAGGAAGCGCCCCCCCCCCCCCAGGGATGTTCACCCTACTCAACTGCTAGGTTGGCAAGGCCAGTCTGCCCCTCCCTTGCCCCTGGGCAGCCAGGCTACACATCCACTTCCAGTGGTTTGAAGAGCTGGCTTCACCTACTTTGGGGATTTCTGTAGCCAGGGGTGCCTGTGCTGCTAACAGTGACTTTAGCTGGGTCATACCAGTGGGGAGTCTTGGGCTCTTGGGCCTGGGAAGGTGGAGGACAAGATGGCAGTTAAGCCACACTGAGGCCTCGTGCAGATGCTCTTGGAAGGAGAGTGGGTGGCATTGTCTGGGTAGAGGACTCTGAGGGCGCGTGGCCTGGCGTTGAGGGTGTGGGTGTTGCAGTGAGTGTAGTGTGGCCCCTGTGGCAGCTCCCCCCACCCTGCCTCTCCCCCTCCCCTCACTGCGTGTCTCCAGCACACAGCTGTCACCAGAATCCATCTCTGTCACCACCCCACTGTGGGGCTAATGAGTTCTCCTGTGAAGCCCCTCAAGCACAGCACGTGGGCCAGCCCCACCCCAGCCCGAGCCCTGGGCCTGCCTCCGAGGGTCCCTGGCCTGCCTCGGAGTGCACATGGTATTAGGAGGCCCAGCCCAAGGGTGCTGGGATCCATGTTCCCTGTCCACATCCTGCTCCCAGGAGCACTGTCCAGACGGCCCTGCAGAGAACACACGAGAAGAGGTCTGGGCTTCCTCTCATCTGATTCCTCTGGTACTGGCCCTTCTCCTTAGCTCAGGGCTACCATCAGTTAGATCATTCCTTCTAATAGCCCTGACCCTGCAGGGTAGGACCTGTGCCAGGACGCCAGGTGGCCATTGTCCCTGGAGAGATGGGGAAGGACCACATCCTTTTGGTCTAGCAACTCCCTCCTTGCCTTACCTGCCCTCCTCATCCAGGCCTCCCCCTTCTCCAGAGTCCTGAAGAGACCACGAGAGAGGCATCAAGGGCCCCTAGGACATCATGACAACAGGGACACAGTATCCTAGGCAGTGAAAGGGCACAGTCTGCACTACCTCCAGACAGTCCACACCTGAGGGAGAGCCAGAGCTGTGCACCAGAGACACTAGTAAGTTCACAGTGTTCCCCAATGAAAGGGCCCCACAGCTGCCTGTTCACAGGCAGGAGGAACCCAGTGCTCCCATGGGGCATGATTTACCCCTGTCACCAGGCAGGTTAGCACATGCTTTCTGAGTGTGTCCATCTGGACTGAGGAGCTTGGGAACTGGCCTACAGGAAACATCTGGCCCTCGCCTAAGTAGGGTAGCCTCAGCCATCCCTCTCCTGCGTACCAGTTCCTTTCTGATTGTGTGACCCTACCTGGGCACATAGTCTGCCCCTTTGCTGGGCAGATGGAGAGGAGGGATGGCAGAAATGTCTTGGAACACGGAGAGAAGGGTCAGTTGTGGTGGAGCGGGGTTTCTGGTCTCCAGAGAGGAAGAGGGAAGGCATGTGTACGTGCCCTCTCTCTACACCTGCTGGAGAGCAGAGGCTCAGCGGGCTGTGGCTTGTCAGTCATGGGCCAGCAGCTGAGCTGAGACCTGGGCCCCTGACTGATTGTCAGCATTACCCAGATTTTCCTGCCCTCACCAGGAGCTGCTCCCTTTGGGGAGAAAGTTGCTGATAGGGAGGAGTAGTTCAGGCTGCTGGGAGGCCAGGCTGGGCATCTGAGTCCCCCAGGAGTCCCACTTGTCGCACTGTGTGCTTTAGGGACCTGTGACAGTACTTGGGTGCCATGGGCTTCTGGGCCTGTCCTCTTATCCTTGCAGGGTGAATTCTATGGGGTGTGACCTGCTGGCCCAGCACCAGGTCCTGCTCCCCTGCCCCCTGGGTCTCAGGGAAGAGGATCCGTGGCCAAGTCCTCTGAGAGCAGGAGTCCCCCATTGTGAGCAGCAGCTCTTCATTGCCCTGGGCCATGGTCAACTCCCGTATCCCTCCTGTTAGACGTGTCTGCCCTGCTCTGCTTATCTTGTCATCTTTCCTCATCAAGAAGTCACAAATCTGGTTTCAAACTGCAGTCCTGGCGACAGAACAAGCCATGGCAGAAACCAGGGCTGCTGTGGGCAGCCGCGTTCTTGGGGCCCAGTTCAGCTCCTGTGTTGGGCTCTTGAAGCCAGCCTCTCCCCTGCTCCCGCCCCTTCACCTAACTGCTCATTTGCCAGCCCTCACCTCTGCCACCTTCCCTGCTCCATCTCCCCTTTGTCCGCCAGCCTCCACAGCTCTTTAGTGGCAGTGGTGACCAGGCAGCCTCTTTCCCTGCAAGCAGTGGCTTCCCTGGAGGCTGTGGAGGCTCTATCCTGACTGTGAGAGGAGGGCCTCTGTTGACTCTGGAGTTCAGGCAGGACCCAGGCCTGTCTGGGCACCTGCTGGGGACAGGGCTTGCCTGGAAGCAGAGCCTTGGCGCCAGGGCCTCCCCTACTGATGGAGGCTGGCCAGGCCTGCGGAGAAGGAGTTGGTGGGCAGGCCTCGAGCTTCGCGCCCGAATCTTGCCTGGCCCAAGAGAGCCCGCCGCAGCCTCCCCCGCTTTGCAGCCAGCGGAGCCATTCACACAATCACCTTCTGTTAATTCTATCTGCAACATCAATTAAATTGTTTGTAGAAACTAATTGAATGTGGCTTAATCACACATCTTAATAGCTTTCCACGCTCTGAACTCGTTGTTAATTCCAGTAATAAAACGAGATGAGAACGCTGGCTGGGTAATTAGCGAGGAGGCTGGGGAAGAAATTGCTGTTTGATGGTGGGTAATAAAGGCAGCCGTGGTGACCGCTCTCCTGAGCAGCCGCTGCCACCGCCACCACCACGCTCCCTGTTCTGCTGACGGAGGGAAACGCTGTTGCTCTGAGCCTGAGGTCCCTGTCCCTGCTGCTGCTCCTCCAGGCTCCATCACTAGAGTGTCCTCCAGGCCCAGGCTCCATGGCTCAGCTCTGGACCTGGAGCTGGCTGGGCCTCGGACCTGGAGTCAGGTGCTGAGGGTGTTGGCCTGCCCGGCGCAGAGTGTCTGTGGGGGGCAGTTAGGTGCTGAGGTTGGGCAGTCTCTTCCCCTGAAGCCAGTTTCTGGCTCCTTGGCCCTGAACCGAGCACCTCTGTGCTGCTCTTGTTCTTGGCATAGGGTCAGCTGCTGCCACGTCCCAGCCTGGGCATCCCAGGGCTCAAGTGGGGAAAACTGTTGCAGCAGCAGTGACCTCCTTGTGAACTGGAGCAGCCCGAGCCCCTCCTCAGGAGAGGGACTGCAGCTGGGCCTTTGGCCAGCCAGCTGTTGACAGTTGTCTAGAGCAGCTGATCCAAGATGCAATCATGTACAGGGACTGGGGATGGGGACTAGCAGGGATCAGGGATCAGTATGTACAGAGACTGGGGAATCCAGCACGTAGAAACTATGTCTGGGAAGAGGGGCAAGACCGTGAAATCACATGTTGGACACCAGGCTGGAAGCAGACCAGAGGGCCAGCAGTGACTGGGGGGTGGAGCTCAGTCAGCTACAGAAGGATCGGGTAGAGGTGCCTTTGGAGGGCCAGGAGGGGTCCCCGGGTATGTCTCCCACCCAGCCACCTTGGTGAGACCCGGGACGTCTCAGAGTGGTCCTGCTGGGGCGGAGGCTGCTCTGGTTCATTCCCCATGTCTTCTACAGGTCTGAGACAATGAACAACACCCCAGAGCAGGTGTGCCCTGCAGGACTGGGGTGGCAGGAAGGCACAGACGCAGGGAATGGCAGTAGCAGGAAATGGGGGCTTCTCTTGAGCACACCTTCCAGAAGCGACTCCTGCACTCTGGTCGTCAGGCTTGGGCCCTCCAGTAGGCTTCTGCCTGGGAAGGCCACCTGGAGAATGAAGGCAGCCACCAGCTCTGCCAGGCCTCGCAGGGCTGGACTTGGCCCAGGCCCTTCCACCGTGTGTTCACTAGTGCAGCCCACCTATAGCAGGCCTCAGGCCAGAGGCCAGTGTTTGGGGCTCTCATTGCCTTGTTCACTCACCTCTTCCTCACTGGTAACGCCATGTTCTCCTAGTGACTAGGGACCAAGTGGCCCCTAGGCTATTTGATGTCCTCTTTCCCAAAATGAGGGGCAACCCTTGAGCCCTGATAAGACCCCCTGCCCTCCTACTGCTTCCTGAGGGGCAGCCACTCTGCCCTTCTGTGTGGAGAACATTGTCCCGTTTCCTGGGAGCCGAAAGGGTACGGTAACCAAGCAGCCCACCACCCCAGGGGTGCGGGTGGGAGGCCTGGGCACCCACAGGTAGCCATGTTTGGAATGCTCCCCCAGGGAAGAACTTGGATGCCCAACACCCCAGATGCCTGTGAAGGGGACACGAGGAGCCCATTTTTTCTCATCAGCGTAATTAGTCAAATCAAATCAAGCCACGCCGGCTGATCCTTCTCTCAGGAAGGTATAGAGACCCTGGAGGAAGTGCTGGCGTACTATAGAGAGGGGCCCGGAACCACCAGGGAGCCTGGAAGCAGGGTCAGCAGTCGGGAAGGGCAGGCGAGAAGCAGTAGGGGAAGCGGGCCTTCAGGCACAGAGGGCCGTGCCACTGCTCCACCCTGGTGTCTGAGTGGGGCTGGGGTCCAAGCACAGCATACCCCCCACTTCCTAGGGCTTCTTTCTGGCTGACTTGAAAGCTGGCTGAGACCCGGGCCCAGCGCAGGCTCTAGGAGCACAGCCTGAGTCTGGTCTGCTACTTCCCAACTGATCTTGGGTGATAAACCTTCCTAAGCTCAGTTTCTTCATCTCCAAAACAGGCGCAGAACTCGCCGTCAGGTGGTTGGGAAGATCACACAAGACAATGTGTGAAGCATACATAGATAATAAACCCTGCTCTCGTGCAGTAACCCCAGCATACAGACGGGCAGATGCACTGACAGTCCCCACCAAAAAAGAGTCCGGGGTGTGAATCCCTGGACCTGCTGCTGCACTCCTCGGTTCAGCAGGGAGAATCAAAGCCTGCTCCTTAAAAGTTTGACAAATGCTTGTTAATCAGGCACCTTCCCAAGGTCTAGGGACTCTCTTAGACTTTGAATGTTCCCAGTGGCCAGCTGGGGTTGGGAGTTTGAGAAATGGGGCTGAGTGCCTCCTGGCCAGCCTTGGAGCTTGGGTTTTCTCCATCATCCATGTCTGAGTCTGCTAGTTCTCTCCTTGGCCACAGGGGTGCTGTCTCCCTGAACCATCTCCAGGTTGTACTCAGTCTTTAAGGACCTCAAGTCTTGGCACTTAGCTCTAGATCCTCAGGTCCCAGTGAGACCCTGTGAGCCCCATGGGGATCTGGTGTGATCCAGACCAGGAGGTGTCTGTGGGCTTCGGAGCCCAGCTTTTTGAGACTGAGCTATCCCATGACTTAGCAAAGCAAGGAAGGACCTAGGAATCGAGGGGCTGGTGCTGGAGACCTGGCTGCCCCGGGATGCCTGTCCTAATGCATCTGTCTTGTGCACACGGCCTCTAGGATTACATGCAGAACATCCATGGCAAGGAGATCGACCTGCTGCGGACAACGGTGAAAGTGCCAGGGAAGCGCCTGCCCAGAGCCACACCTGCCACAGCCCCGGGTACCAGCCCGCGAGCCAATGGGCTGGCCATGGAGCGAAGCAGTACACAGCTGGGTGGGGGCACAGGTGAGGCTGCCACCATGGTGGATGCTGAGAGTGGCTGCAGAGGGGCCAGGGAGGCACATGTTCCAGGACCGGCAGTTCTCAGCCCAGGCCTGGGGCTCTGAACACATGGCCAGCCAGCACCATGCTTCAGGAGCATCTCAAGTCACATGCTGTGACCCGGATGCAACTCTAGCAGGGTGGTCAAGTAGCCTTGGCTGTCAGGTGGGCCCAGTGGTCCCAGGACCACCTCACTGCATCTGGAGCCAAGGGAGGCCAGCATCCTAGTTTGCTGTGTGGGGCAGAAGGGGACAGAACCATCGGAGGCCACCAGGCAAACATCCTCAGGTCTACAGTGAAAAGCCGGGTCTCTGCATATGAGGGCTGAGTTTAGAGAGGATCCTGAGGGTGGGAGGCACCGTATGTCCAGCGATCTGGAGTAAAGTCGTGCTGAGAGGCAGTTATGGCCACAGGGCAGCCTGGGCTGCTTTTGGTGTGATAGCTTTGGTAAAAGGCCCTCTGTCCTCCAGTGCTCCCTTCCTAGCACCGGCTCATCCTCCTCCCCTGGGCTTCTGCTCCTGGGCCCCCACCCTTGCTGGGGTGGTCTTGCCCAGTCAGTTGCCCTGAGCTGCCTGGGTTACTGGATCTCTCCTCCATGTATATCTGCTCGTCCTCCTAGACCATCAGAACTTACTGTCTCTGGGCCCAGGAACTGCTGCTGGGGACACTGCCTTGTCCTGTTCCCGTGCCCAGCCTGAGGTATCATCAGGGCAGGCTTTCAGCCAGGGTGCATGTGGAGATGCTGGGGTATTCTGTTTGTCACAGTGATAGATGGTGTTGGATTTAATGGACAGGGGCTGGGAACACCAAGTCCCCTGGAGGTGACCCCAGTCAACAGTCACTCCCTCGAAAGGATGGTGGGACTTGTGCTGAGGAAGTCCAGGCCGAGGGGTGGTAGGTGAGGTGCAAGCACCCAAGTGTGGTCCTTGTTTGAGGCAAGGCCCATGTGGCCACCACTGACCCAGCTGGCAGTGTGGGGGCAGCCAGGCAGTACCGACTGGGCTGGCCAGGTGTAGTGGATGTCCACACCAGGTCCCAGGGCCACAGCACCACCATGATGTCGAGACTCTTGTCCCTGTTTTCAGGAGGAAATCAGGGCTCAGACACCTGAGAACACAGCCCAACTGTGAGCAGGAAGCTGCTGTTTGGACCTTAGCGAGCCTGAGGGGACTCGTTCTGTTCCCTCCTCTGAGCCGCCCTGAGCTCAGAACAAGGGAGCCCTTGAAGTGAGCGAGGGACAGCTCTAACAGTGAAGGAAGCTGAGGAGAGGACAGTCCCTCCACCGGGGTGGCTAAGAGCCTGGGGTGTGCCTGGTGGGGCCTGGCCCCAGTGGCACAGATGGGAGGCTGGGGGTGTTCCTCCGTGCGGAAGGCAGGGTCTTGAGCCCCTCTGGTCGGGGTGGGTGTTCTCAGGAGGAGGCGCAGCACAGGTTTGCCGAAGGGGAGCCTGGGGAGCTGAGCCTTGGAGTCAGGTGGCCAGAGGGAAGCAGAAGGCTGCTGTCCTGTCCCCGTCCTGGGCCCTGATGTGCTTCACACTGCTGCCATAGTCACAGAGCCCACCCAAGAGCAGGAGCGCATGGACGGCGCTCACCAAGCCCCTTCCCGCTGCCGCACACTGACACCGACCCTCGCGCACACTCACACATGTCTCTCGCTCACCGGGCGATGTTAACATCTCATTATCTTTGTTACTGTAATTACATTATCCGCTGCTTTATGCAGAATTATCCTCGGAGGACTAATTGATGGCTCCATGTTTAATTCATTAATCATTAGCATCAAATTCGACAATTACAGTGCACACTGATTGTGGGATTGCAGGCGTAATGAGGGGAGAATTAACAAAGAAAAGGGAAAGCACTTTCCCTCCCTCAGGGTTTTGGGTTGGGGGCTTGGGAGGAAGTTGGGCTGTGATGTCTTTGATGGGGCCTGGGGTGGAGGGGGTAGGCTTTGGAACCTGGGAGGAGATGAAAGCAGGAAGTGGTGGGGAGAAGCCAGGGTCCCTGGAAGGTTTGTTGGAGGTGGGAGAGAAAGGCCCATCCAGGAGGGACCCGTGAGACCCAAGGAGGGGCTGGGCAGGATTCAGAAGGGCAGTGTCAGTGCATTACCCTGGGCTGGCCTTGTCCCCGCGTCACCAGGTGCTGACCCTGTGTCTAGTTCTCTCTGGCTGTTAGGATGAATACAAGAAAACACCGAGCTCACGCCTGCTTCTGCGCTGGGTGTCTGGCCTGCTCTCAGACGGCCGTGTCCGCTCAGGCCTTCCTGTCCACCCTCCTCCATGCGCTTGCAGGGCCAGCCTGGCCCCCGCTTGCTTTCGCCCCTGGCTGTCCACCTTTCTGCTAACCTCCACACCTGGCTGGCTCCTTGGCCCATTTAAACATCCTGGCTTTGGCCCACCTGTTCCCAGAGCCCTGTGGCCGCTTCTCTTGGCTTGGGAGTATTGAAGGAGGGGAGGGACACCTGGGTTCTCGGGCCCTTTAAGGCCCTCTGAGGCCCATGGCTGTGTTGCCAGGCTCTCTGCAGCAGGGACTCAGCCTGGGCGGGGGCCAGGAGAAGGCTGAGGTGCTCTGCTGGCTTCACGGCTGGCCACATCTGCCCAGCCTGGTACTCCTAGGCCTTCCGCTCCCCTGGGCTCTGCTGTTCTTCCCTGATGGGAAACGAAAGATTAATTTTCTCCAGCCCAACAGGATAATTACTAATACTAATTAGACATAATTACTTGAATTTGATACACTTATTTCTCGTTAGAATGGCAGCAAGTCTTAGGCAAATCAAATGACATATGTGGACCAGCACATAGGGTATAGGGCCTGAGCCAAGGGACAGTGGCACCTTGGCCAGGAGCCCCTCCAAGACCCTTGCAGTGTCCTGTGACCCTGCCCTTTCCAGTTGCAGTCACAGTGAGGAGACAGCTGTTGTGTGGTTCATGGGGAGAGGGGGCAAGAAGGTCCAGGGGGCCCTGTGAGGCCGCAGGCTCCACAGTGTGCCTGGCCTGCACCTGGTGACCCTCCCACTCCTGGCCATTACCCTGCTGTGGCCCTTTTTCCAGGAAGGTGTTTCTAGGTGGCTCCCATTGGCCTCCCCTCCCAGTCTGACTTTCCGCCTTCAGGTGCCCCCCACTCGGCCAGTAGCACATCCCTGCACTCCTCCGAGCACCCCCTTGGCACTCGGCCTGGGCTGGCCTGCACCCCCACTCCTTTGCGTCCCCCAACCTGCCTGCTCCCTTTCTAGTTCTGACCGGTGGAGGGAGGCCACTGCCCTGCCCGGCACACAGCACCCTGGTGAGTGGTGGCTCTCTGCTTCCCACTCTTCTGGTACCTGGTTAGGTGACAGAGAGGAGGGGAGGCTGCAGCTGGACGGTGCCCAGGCTGAGGGTGGCCCAGTGGAGCCCTCCAGCGCTCATGGCAGGCACTGCACTGGGGGCCCGGGGACCCTGCCCCTTTGGAGCAGGAGTAGGGGCTCTGGCCCTTCTCCAGCCCCTGCCTGGGCTTTCTGCCATTCGCCCCTCCCCTTGGCTCCAGTCTGGCCCTCCAGCCAGCGCTGGAGGCCCGCCCTCTGCAGCTCCTCCTCCCCGTGTCCCCAGGCGGCGCTGGTGGCGCCCTCCCGCATCCCCATCAGCCCCCTGCGCAGCCAGCTCATCAGCCTCTCCGCGGGGGGGACAGGGAAGCGGCTGAGTAGGGAGGTCGGCGGCTGGGGACTCTAAGCCATGAGAACTGGTTCTGAAGGCGGCATGGCCCACCACCGTGGGCGGGGGTCCCTGCAGAGTTGTCCTAAAGGTTCTTTCCACCTGTGCTGCTGTCCTCCAGGGCCAGACTGCCTCCTCCCGCCCACCCACCTAGCGTACTCTCCTGGGATCCTCGTTTCCACCCCTTCATTTCCTCCTTTGCGTCCCCCAACCTGCCCCTACCCTCTTGGTAGTTCAAAGGCTAAAAAAAAAAAAAAGTGGTAACAACTCTCCTGTCCCTTCTACCCCCTAGTGGCAAATGAAGGTGAAAAGACAGGGAGATAACCCAGGGTGTCACCTGCCCCTGGTAAGCCAGGAAGTGGGCAGACAAGCCTGTCCCCTGCCTCGCCCCAGCCTACCCAGGGGGCACACTTGCTGTCCTCCCTGATGACTCCCAGAGATCCGCCCCAGGCCCAGCCTCTGAGCACTGAGCTTCCTTCCTGAGCATGCCCACCTGTGAGGAAGGACCTAGCCATTAGTCTCTGCCCACCCATCCATGGCTGGGCCCTTCCCTTGGGTCACTGGCTGATGGCCTGCGCTGGCCTTGGTGGGACCCCTCTGTTGAGTCTGAGGGAGGCAGAGAGGCAGGGAGGGAGCGCGTCTGCCTCTAATGAAGTTTGACATTTAGTGGTGAGCGCCGGGCGGGGTGTGGGAGCCAGAGCTTGATTAGCGCGCTCTAATTGACAGTAATTAGGCAGCTCCCTGATTGTTTCTAATTCTGCTATTAATTGTGAGGAGCGGGGAGTGTGATTGAGGATAAATTTGGTGCGGAGCTGCTGGGGCTTCAGCTCCCTGAGTTCCCTGGGCCGCCTTCCACCCCTCCAGGCTGCAGAAGCCGGGGCCTCCCTCTGCCGTTCCCCTGCCCGCCTCAGTTTCCTTCTCTGCCCGTTTCCTCTTCCACCGCTGGGGGCCTTGGGACTGGGAGACCTGGGCAGGACCCCATCCCAGAGAGGGTGCAGGCCCGCGGGCTCTTCGGGTGCGGCTCGTACAGTGGCAGGACTGCCCTCCCCAGGCCCCATGCCACCTCTCCTCTTCCCACACATCTCCACCTCTCCCCTCACCAGCCAGTGGCCCAGCTGAGGTGCTCAGTTCCAGCCCCAAGCTGGAGCCTCCCCCATCTCCCCACTCCAACCGGAAGAAGCACCGTCGGAAAAAGAGCACCGGGACCCCCCGACCAGACGGCCCCAGCAGTGCTGCTGAAGGTTAGGGGGACCCAGAGGGAGAGTGGGCCTAGGAGGTGGGCAGTGGGGTCTGGGCACAGTACTCCAGAAGTCATGCCGGTTTCTCCAGATCGATGGATGCGGCACTTTCTAGGAATAATAGATGCTAACTCCATAACCTCTTTCGATAATTTGGACCCAGGATTTTGGAAAACGTCCTGTTTCCTCTCCCTGAAACAGCTGGGAGCTTCTGTCCTTTCCCCACCCCCTTCTCTTCGTGATACTGGGAATTGAAGGTAGGGGTGCCTTATCACTGAGCCAGCTCTTCTGTATTTTGAGATGGGGCCTTGCTAAATCGCCCAGATTGGCCTCAGACTTGCAATCCTCCTGCCTCAGCCTCCTGAGTGGCTGGGATTACTGTGCCCAGCCCTTCTGTCATTCTTCAAGTCAGAGACAGCGAGCTGCTATCGTAGCTCCTCCAAGAGTTGCCGGGAGGGACCTGCTTTCTGTGTTTCTTGTATCACCCACAAGTGTTGTGAGTGCTTCGCATTTGTGCCTGGGTCAGCTGAGTTCTCCTGAGCCAAAGAGCCCCAGTCCTTGACCAACTTCCTCTCTCAGTCTCTTAATCACAGTGCTGCTCCCGCCCCCGACTCTCTTCCAACCTCAACCTTCTCCGTGACTGGAGTCTCTTGGCTCCCAATTGACTTCTGTGGACTCAGTTGTCATTTCTGCTCTGACTCTAGGGTTAGGGGTGTGGGTCAGGTGGGTGGAGATGGCTGCCCTTTTGCAGCCAGCCTGGGACACACAGTGATACTTAGCCATCATGGCACAGGTGTCCGCTATGGTCCAGGAACCAGAGCCCACAAGCGCTGGGGGAGCCAGAGGCTGAGGCGAGAGCTAGGTGGGGCTCGAGACTGGTGCCTGGGGAGAGAAAGGCGCTGCGTTTATCATGTGGCAAGGCGGTTCTGTTAAGGGTCCTGAGAGCAGGGGCCCAGCGGAGGAGGACTTCCAGGGCCCAGGTGGCACTGAGGAGGGGCTGCCGGCAGAGGTGCAGTGAGGACTTGGGTGGGACAGCCCTGGTCCTCCCACCGGTTCACATGCTGTCTCTCCAGCCCCAGCACAGGTCACACTGCCACCTCGGGGGCAGGGGCCGCTGGGAATGAGATCCATGTGGCTGTCCTCTAGGGCTGGGAGCACAGCTTGGAAGAGCTTCATCGCAGTGCTTGGGGTCACAGTCCAGCCCCAGCACTTGTCACTACAGATGTCCTCAGGTCCCGATTGGCTCACATCCTACAGTTCCTGGAGAAACCATCTCCCCCCATTTGCCCTTCCTGCCTGTCTGTGCCAGGGCAGTGGGGGAGGGGCCCCACTCCCAAGAGCCCCACGCTGACGCCGTCAGGAATATTGGGTTTAATGAGCTGCAAAATGAGGCGGCTGCAGCTGACATGTACGAATGGTGCCCACCACCGCCTCCCCCGCCACACTCGCCTTCCAGCGCCCGTTGTAGCCTTCTCCAGACGCTGGGCCCGGCTTTCTCCAGGTGCCCCTCTCTGGTCCAGACCACACGTGGCAGTGCTGGGGAAGCCAAGAACTTGCACCCCACTCCCCGAGGCTCCACAGGTGGCTAGGAGCTTGCCCTAGTCTTGCAAGGTCACCTGCCAGTGGTCCTGGAGCGTGTGCCCTGGGGCCGGGTGGACACGGCTGGGGAGGAGGACGAGTGCAGGTGGAGCTGTGCCACCGGGTGCCCTGACGTGACTGCCCTCCCCCACAGAGGCAGAGGAGTCCTTTGAGTTTGTGGTGGTGTCCCTCACCGGGCAGACGTGGCACTTCGAGGCCTCAACGGCGGAGGAGAGGGAGCTGTGGGTGCAGAGTGTACAGGCCCAGATCCTGGCCAGCCTGCAGGGCTGCCGCAGCGCCAAGGACAAGGTAGGCAGGGGGGCGGCCACCCCGAGTGCCTGGCGGGGAGATGGTGCTGTGGCTGACTGAGTCCTGTCTCCCTCCTGGGGCAGACCCGCCTGGGGAACCAGAATGCAGCCCTCGCGGTGCAGGCCGTGCGCACGGTGCGAGGCAACGGCTTCTGCATCGACTGCGACGCCCCCAGTGAGTGTCCCGGCCGTGGCCCTGGGAGGGGGGCTGCAGCTGCAGAGCTGGCAGGTGGCGGGGGGCCTTCCCCGTGTCCCCTCTCTGGTCACCCTTGTCATATTATTGTCCTCTCCTCACCTAGACCCCGACTGGGCCAGCCTGAACCTGGGCGCCCTGATGTGCATCGAGTGCTCAGGAATCCACCGGCACCTGGGGGCTCACCTGTCCCGGGTCCGCTCCCTGGACCTCGACGACTGGCCACCTGAGCTGCTGGCTGTCATGACTGCGATGGGCAATGCACTGGCCAACAGCGTCTGGGAGGGGGCCCTGGATGGCTACGCAAAGCCCGGGCCTGAAGCCTGCAGGTGAGCAGATGGGGCCCTGACGTTGGCCAGGATGGGGGACAGCTGGCGCTCCCAGTGTGGGGAAGATATGCTGGGGATAGTGCCCAGCGGCTGTGACAGTGTTAGAAGGGTTAAACTAGCCATTGCTCTGCCTGGCAGTTGGCCCCTTGGGTGCCCCTCCCCCTGGGCGCCTGTCACTCAGGCGCCTCACAACAACAGGCCCTTTCTGAGCCGTTATCAGCAGGTCAGGGGGCCAGCAGGAGGCGCATGCGCAGGGCTCCTATCGCTGTGTGGTGCAAGGCCCTGGCCTGCGCTGTGAGATGGGGAGAATGGGTGGTAGATAGGGTCGCTGTGGCCCCCCTCGGGCCACCTGCTTTGTTCTAGCACTGCCAATGGGAGAGTACAGATGACCAGATAAGCTGCTGCTCGGGCCTGCCTGGATTCTTCCTGCCCTCTCGGCCCCATGTCCCTGCTGCCCCCCCCCCCCCCCCCGGGGCTTCCCTTCAGTGTCCCTTCTTTTCACTTATGCCCTCCTTTTACATTCCCCGCTGCCCCTGAATGCCTGGCGTCTCTGGGGCTTTCCTCTCCTCCACACTCTCATGCACCTCATACCCGGCCTCCCTGTCCCCCACCTGGGTGCTCCACGCCTTCTCAGCCACCTACAGCCCCCGCAGGCTCGGTTCCGTTCGGTGGCTCATGCTTTGACGGACCTGTGCTTGCAGAGAGGAGAAGGAGCGCTGGATCCGGGCCAAGTACGAGCAGAGGCTCTTCCTGGCCCCGCTGCCGAGCTCGGACGTGCCACTGGGGCAGCAGCTGCTCCGGGCCGTGGTGGAGGATGACCTGAGGCTGCTGGTGATGCTGCTGGCCCACGGGTCCAAGGAGGAGGTGAACGAGACGTACGGGGACGGGGACGGGAGGACGGCTCTGCACCTGTCCAGTGCCATGGCCAACGTGGTCTTCACACAACTGCTTATCTGGGTGAGTGGGGGCGCCTCCGGCCTACCCTGGCCTTTTTGCCCCAGCCTTCAACAGCCCCCCCAAACTTTCCTGCCCCGTCATGCCAACTGAACGTGTTTCCTCCGGCAGTACGGGGTGGACGTGAGGAGCCGGGACGCGCGGGGCCTGACCCCACTGGCCTATGCCCGCCGGGCCGGCAGCCAGGAGTGTGCAGACATCTTGATCCAGCACGGCTGCCCTGGGGAGGGCTGTGGCTTAGCACCCACCCCCAACAGAGAGCCGGCCAGCAGTACCAACGCCTCTGCTGAGCTGCACCGCAGCCCCAGCCTCCTGTGAGGCCCAGGAAGAAGGCAGAGAGGCCAGAAGGACTTCGTGGCTTGGGACCCTCCTCCCTGCAGGCACTGGGGGAAGCGGGCACATAGCCAGAGAAGCAGGGACACGCAGCCAGGATGAGAGGAGGGAGAAGTCAAAGGGATCCGAGGAGCGGTCTGGGGTTCGAGCTGCAGCAGAGGGAGGGAGCTCGGTGCTCAGCCCTCTGCCCTGCAGGGCCCCTGAGAAGGGACGGACCCTTTGGAGGTGCCTGTGAGGAGAGGGGGGCGGGACCTCTCCCTCCTCCAGACCCCTGCCTCCTAGTGCCAGCCCCCACAAGCACAGGGCACAGGATGGGGGTGCTGGATGAAAGAGACAAGAGGGTGATCTGTGAGTCCCATGTAAAATTTGTACATTGGAATATTTATGTTTGTGTACATACTTGGTGAGCGTGTATGAGGAGCCAATAAACCAGACGTGTGTGGCCCTGATTCTCCCTCACACTCTCCCCTCTGGGAGTGCCCCTCACCTCCACCTCTGCTCATTTTTGCTGTCTCTGTTCTAAGGCTTTCTCCCTCCCTGTCAGCCAGACCCCAGGCTTCCTTCCCGCAGCCGCCGCCTTGCATCAGTTTCTCTTGCTCTCCTGGCAGCGGTGTAGCTGTTTGTGGGCAGCACAGGGAACCTGATGGGACGGAGCAGCCCTTCTTCCCCTTGGGTGCTGCCTTCACTGCACCCCTGCCCCCACCATCCCCAGGAAGCTTTCCAGTGGTCTCTGACATCAGTGTCCTACCTAGTGACGGCATGCCACAACCCGGCCCTGGCCACAGTGTACCAGAGGGCAGGAGCATGCCCCTCCCTGGGAGTCTGAGAATGTGCCCGGACCTTAGAGCTGATGCCACAGGGTGGGCAGCTAGCTGCTGAACGAGGCGGCTGGGGCACAGGGGCCTGGGCTTTGCTTGTGAGCAAAGGGGAGGGGGTGGCAGAGCAGCCACCTGGACGCCCACCAGCAGCTTGCCCAGCTGGGGGCAGGACAGGAGCCTCTGCCTTTCTTTCTCACCATATCCCTCTTCTCCAGGGATCCAGGGGCAACTGTACTGGCTCTTGAAGGACAAGAACTGGCTAAGTTCAGGTCCCAGCTCTCAGGAGCCTGTTGTTCCCCGTTCCTGAAACCACTCTGCTGGCAGCCCATGTTTCCTGAAGCCTCTTGGGTACATGGCAGGTGTGCTGGCTGGTGCCCTGCGTGGGCACCTGCCTACATGTAGTAAATAACCAAGTAACGCTACTCAGAGAGGAAACCAGGTTTTATTTCTTTGTCCACGTCCCCTTTTGCAAGGCTGTTAAGAGCCTTACACGTAGATCAGGGCAGAAGGGCCTGGGCCATGGTGTGTGGGACTGGGTTCCTGGACTTGGGAAACACTAGCCGCAGTCACCTCCAGACTCCCTCAAGACAAGCCGCTCGGGCCGGCGGGACCCTGCTCGGCCAGGCACAGAGCCAGGGGAGACACACAGTGGCCTTGGTGGTGGCTGGTCCCTCCGGCCTTTCTGCTCAGTGCTCACTTGCCCTCCACACTGGGCGTCGAGCTAGAGCCTCTGCCCCAACCCTGCTGAAGGGACAGAGCTGTCCTTGTCAACCTCTGTCTGACTTATCTCCTCAAAACAACCTAATCCTGTTGGTTCCCTGTGCAGGGTGAGCCTAAGGTACCAAGGGGACTTAGCCTTGGCAGGTCAGGCCAGGGACCCGGCAGGTCTGGACTTCATACTTTAAGCTGTAATCAGAAGCCCAGCTGAAACTTAGCCGAGGGACACAGACAGCCTGGGCCTGGGGGTCCTCACTCAACAGTAGACCTTTCTATCGTCACTGACCAGCCTCAGCTCCCGGCTGCTTGCTTTGGGAGAGACAAGCTGCTCAGGAAGGGCAACCTCAGTCGAGCCGTAAGACAAGTCAATGAGACATTGACTAATTTGTCATTCCAGGAACTATCATTGGTCCTCTGAGGAGGGTACGGGGGTTGGTGGGGCGTTTGGCTTCCCTCTGACCCTGACTTGAACACCCGGGGTTCCCGTCTTAGTTGTAGCCTGCTGTTTTTGTCTTCTCCACGGCCTGTTCACACTAGCTCTCCTCTCCACCAAGATGGCCAAGTTCTTCCCAAGCAGCTGGCCTGCCGTGAACCGGCCTCAGCGGGTCTCCCTAACAGTCCCTCTGCCTGCAGTCTGTGCAGTGTGTCTGGAGGGTGTAGCTCGGGTGTTTGCTTTATCCACCAACATCGTCCCTTCCAATCCCACAGCCTCGCTCTGGTCTTCCCCACAGCACACACCTTTCCAGAACCATCAGACTGGCTCCTGTCCCCTCCATTTGGCAGTGACCCCTCTATGCCCACCTTGTTCTGTAGCAGAAGAGGCTGCAGTACCTGAAGCTTCGGAAACAGTGCTGAAGAGCACCAGAGATGGGTCCTCCCTCCCTGGGCCCTCGCATCTGAAATACAAAGGGCAGCAGAGGCCACTCGGTTGCTGGTGGCTGTGTCCTCTGCACCCAGTGCTTAAGATACTCACAGGTAGTGTGAGCGAGCCCCACCCTGCCCCTGTCACTGACTGGACTGGCGACCTCTAGCCAGTTAGCTGGCCCCAACACTCACCAGCCATTGAGGGTCAGGTGCCGTCATTTAGCTTTAATACAAATGGGAGTGAGTCTCACCCCCTGAAGTCAGCCACCTCTTCCAAAGAGGCCTGTTTACCTGGAGGAGGAACAGTGGCTGTAGCCGGAGGTGAGGGGTGGACGGAGGTGAGGGGTGGACGTGGGAGCAGGGCCAAGCGGGAGGCAGGGGTGAGGGGAGCAGTGGTCCCCCTGGAGGCTGCTGGTGGTGGTTCCAGCCATCTCTTCCCACACCTTGCACTGAAGAGACGCTGCCCACGGCCGGCCGAGTGCAGGATGGAATGAACTCTGGCTGAGGCTCGATGAAACAGACCTTTCCCGAAGCTTCTTAGGAGTGCAGACAGAGACACAGCTCCATATATACAAACTTTACATAAAATAAATAAGGAGCTGCCATCCATCTGGGCTGGTGTCGCCCTGGGCTCCTCCGTTTGGTCAGAAGCTGTTCCTGGACATCAGCCACAGAACCCTTCAGGCCCCGAGCATTTAAAGCCCCATGGGCCCGAGGAGTCCACCCCAGTCCCAGCACCTCCCTGGCGAGTAGACCCGGAGCCCCTGTGGCCCTGAAGGTCTCAGGGCGGGGAGCACCGTGGGCCTCTCCCCGCTGCGGTCCCTCCTGTGTGGGCACAGCCCAGCCGCGGGTCCTTGCTCGGGTCAGGGCCGGGCCCCCTGCTCCATTTGCTGGTGTTGGCTGCGCACAGCGAACCTGTTGACGTGCACGGGTATGGGCACGACGATCTTGGGGTTCCTGACAGGCTCCCCGGAACGGCTGCTCACATTGCCAGCTTTGATGCGCTTCCACTTGGCCCGGCGGTTCTGAAACCAGATCTTGACCTGCACCTCGCTCAGCTTGAGGGCGTGGGCGATCTGGGAGCGCTCCGTCAGGCTCAGGTACTTCTTGCAGTGGAACTCCTTCTCCAGTTCCAGGAGCTGCTCGCTGGTGAAGGCCGTGCGGCGCCGGCGGCTTTTTCCCCCAGGGGCGCTGACCCCTGTGGTCACCGGTGTCCCCTCCTCAGCTCCAGTCCCCAGGCTTCCCTTTAGCTTCGGTTTAGGTCCCAGAAGAGCCCCAGGGCCCCCTGCAGAAGTGTCCAGGAAACTGTCGTCCTCGCTGTCGCCGCCTGAGCCCTCTTCCTCCTGCTCGCTGGCTGCTGGGTCTCCCGCTGGGGCCTCCAGCTTCTCCTCATCTGAGCTGTACACCTTCCCCTCTGCTGTGGGGAGCGGGGAAACCAATGGATGGGGAGGGAGCGGGCAGGGAAGACAGGGTGGAGGGGGCAACGGGACCGCGGCCAGGAATGGGGGGGGCAGCGGCAAGAAACGAGGCGGCATGGAAAGGAAGAGGTGGCAGGAGAGGGGACAGGCACATCCAGGTGGGGAGCGGGAAGAGGGTTAGGGGAGACAACGGGAAGAAAGGTATTAACCAGCTCGACGTCACCACAGGAAGGGGGGCAGGCAATGGAGTGGACAGTAGCCCCCGGACTTTCCCACCAGCCCATCTCATTCTCTATACCAGCAACCCAGCTCTCCCAGCCCAGGACCAAGGGCCCAGTGTCCCTCCTACACCGGGCCCCAGGACAAAGCCAGGGGACACTGACTTGGATTTGAAATGTGGGAGGAGAGGAGCCTGCTGCTCCCCCAGGAGTCCTTATCCCGCCCAGCTGCAGGAACTGTCCCAGAATTTCCCTCTGTGCAGAGCTAGGTCACAGACCCTCACACACCTCTGGACGGATCTTCAGGCTCATCTGCTCCTCCCCACACCCTCCTTAAATATGGGTCCAAGACACTCCAAGGACCTGGGAACTGGAGGTCTCAAGCCCCCTTCCCAATTCCTGTCCAGACTGCCCAGCCAGGACAGGGGCTCCCAGCCACATGCCATTTCCTTGTCTGTGCCCAACCTTCCTCCCTGTTACTCAGCCCCATCCCCTGGTGGTCCTCATCCTTAATTCCAAAGTGACGGAATTGCTTTCCCACCTCCCCTCTCTCCTGGCCAATGCAGACAGCAGCTCCTGCTGAAGCTCAGAATCCCCAGGACCAGAGTCTGACACTGGCCGAGGGCTGGAGGGAATGTGGGGACAGAAGTGAAGCGGGAAAAACAGGGAAGGATGTGCAGAAGGAATTCTGACTCGTTTAGTAGATGAGTGATTACTCACGATCACAGACATACAAACGTTTAACCCACACATAGTTCTGAAATCTAACTCCACCTTTGGTTTTAATCTACCCACTGATGTGTTTGCCAGGACTACAATGAACGTTGTCAGTGCTTGAGTTTCCCAAACTCCCTCGTTTTCTGCCCAACAACAGAAAGTCAAAAGACCATCATCCGCTAGGGAAGAAGAAGGGCCCATGGACAACCTGTGAGCCACGTGAAGGTGGGCACTCGGGATGTCACTTACCACACACCCCCTCCAAGCCTGCTTGGAGTTCAGAATGCAGCTTGGCTAAATCCAGGGTGCAATGAGGGGCAGGGACACTGCCCAGACACCTCCTGCTGGCAGGCAGGGCTGGTCCTGGGTGTGGTCCCTCCCCACCTGCCTGAGGCCCAGAAGCTTCCAGAGGCTTCCAGAGCTGACCTGCTGATCCCTTGCTGCGGATGTGCACACCTGCTGCTCAAGGGCCATGGTGACATTCTCCCTAGAGGCCAGGATCATCTGGCCCTGTTACTACACACCCCAACCTGCTTTGTCTCTCTCCCTTCCTCCCCTTTGCCCCGTTCCTGAGTTGACCAGCCACAGTTCAGGCTCAGCCCTGCATTTCCAGAACCCTGCCCTGATGTGGTGGGGGTGCTGGCCACCGGCCACAGGCTTCCCAACACCCACCTCGTCTCCTCGCCGGCCACCTGTTTTACTTCCTGTGAGATCTTCAGCCTGGGTTCCCTCCTCCCCCTTACTGAGGGCTCTTCCCCGCACCATTGTCCATTCCCACACAACCCAGTCCTCCCCATCTCTGTGGCACTCCATCCTCCTGCCTTCAAACCAGATCTGCGGCTGCCCTTCACTCCTCTCATGGAGCACATCCACTCACAAATCCACCTTTCAAATACGCCCAGAGCTGGACCTCTCCTCCCTGTTGCCTCTGGTCCAAGTCACCACCATCTAGACCGTCAGTGTCCTCTTCTCCTCGCTGGCTTCCATCCTCCTGGACCTCAGCACTGGCTGCTTCCCTGCTCCTCCACTGAGAGCTTCCTGAACATTCCCTTAGGATTCGGACCCCTGACATTCTGATGTCCCCTCAGTGACCTACCTGTCACTATGGTACATGCCACCACCTTTTTTCATCCACCCCTCTGGCTGCCGCTCCCTATTAGAATATGAGCTTTGAGGAATTCTGATGTTTTATTCACTGTATCATGAGCATCTTACAGTGATCTGCACTGAGTAGGCGCTCAGTAGTCAGCTAAATAAGAGAAACGATATCCAGCATCCAGGTGTGTGCTCGCCCCTCTCCATCTCTCTTTCCATCTCCGCTGCTTCCTCTGCCATGCCTCTCCATCACCTCAGCTCCGTGCCATCAGACACACCCATAAATACCCTACCCACTGCCCAGCTGGCCTCCGGCCTCCCTCACATTCGCAGAGGAAGCCCACAGGATCCCAGGAAACTACTGGGTGCTGAAAACAGTGAAGGACAATCCCACAGCATCATTAAGTCCTCTGGCTTTGATTCTTAAAACATACCTTGCGTTCAATAATAACAGAACGAAGGATGAGAGCTCATAAAAACTCAGCCCAGCAAGACGATCTTAAACAGTGCTAAAAAGGCAGCAACTGGATTTCAGGGCTTGAAGGATGGAACCCTTCTGTACAGCACCAAGCACCCAAGGGACGTCCCATAAATCTAAGCTGATGATGACTGAGAGGAGGCTCCCAGTTCTGGACCCGGCAGAGCCCTCCTGAGATCACCTCATCCATCCCTCTGTCTTCAGACATCAGCAAAATCAAGCCCCCACCAGGAGGCTACCCTTAGTGCTGCTTTTAAGGCCTTCCAAGGAGCACAAGTTCACAGTCTCTCCTTCTCCATCCCGGGGGACGCAGAGAGGCAGGGGCAGGAGTGTCTCTGCTCCTTTATGATCATGACATTGAGGACTCAGATAAGGACTGGAGGAATGAGTGGGGGAGGGGCGATGGGCACCACCGAGAGAGGAAAGCACAGCCACAAGTCTCAGCGGAGCAGCGTCGGGACAATGAGTGAGCCGGGCCAGGAGTGGGAGAGAGGAGGAAAGGCCAAGCAAGGCAGAAGAGCCTGGGGACAGGTGGGTGGAGATGGCTTGAAAAAAATGCCGAACCAGACAAGAGACGGCCGAAAAGTTTCAAGAACCGAGAGAAAGGAGAGGAGGTGAGTGCTGGAGGAGGGAAAGCAAGGGTGCTTTTAAAAAAAATACCCCACTTCCTCACCCAGAATATTGCTGCATTTGGAGCCAAGCAAGATGTTCTGGCCCTGCACTTGCTCTTTGCTCCACCAGCAGGGGGAGCCGCAGAACCCCCACAGCCAAAGCCCAGGGTGTGGCCCCGGAACCACTGAGCAAAGGGAGACCCTTCACAAGGCAGCAAGCCTAACAGCTGAAGAAGACATGCCAACTGCTTCCTGTGGGGGGGGGGGTGGGTAGGTGTGGGTGGATATGGTACTGGAAATTGAACCCAGGCATGCTCTACCAGTGAGCCACACCTACAGTTCTTTCTATTTTTTATTTTGAGACAGGGTCTTGCTAAGTTGTTCAGGGCCTCACTAAGTTGCTGAGGCTGGCCTTGAACTTGAGATCTTCCTGCCTTCACCTCCTGAGCCACTAGGATTACATGTCAGTGTCACCTTGCTCGGCCAAATCATTTTATCTGATTCATGACAAATATTAGTAGTAAAAAGGTCAAACAAAACTAAAATGTCACTTAAATTTTTGTTATTGATTAAAAACTGACAGAAGTAGCAAACCTTTCTGAGAAAATTTATGTTTACAAAATTTGATTTACAGTACTTAGATTTGGTAGATAAAATATCCATAAAAGCAAATTTCCAATTGCAGATGTGGTTACTGGTTGATATGAACAACAACAAAAAAATACTTGATAGGCAAAAGAAGACTTTTCATTGAAAATTTTACATGTCAAATAATCATTCTGATAACACCGTCAGCAAAATGAAAATCTTAAAACTGAGAACCATTTGACTGTGCTAGGTAGGTAGCCAAACAGGCAGAAAGGTCCTGTCCTTTGTGTGTGGGAATATCACTGGTAGCAAGGTTGAGTGTGCTGGGGTCCCCTTGTAAGTCTAGCACCTGCGGGAAAGCATGGTCTCTGGGCAGGGGAATGGCTGGGACAGGCAGGAGACAGGAAGGGTTCATGATGCTTTGATCGGAGGGACAGATACCACAATGTGTGACTCGTAACTGCTCACAGAGTTCATGCCAGGAGCATGAATCCCACTCAAGAGCCTTGCACAGGCTTCAGGGTGAGTCTGCAAAGGTGGCTTCCCAGAGGAAGGCCAGTGGCCCAGGGACACAGAGCTCCACCTTGGGGTCAGGTCAGGCTGGGGAAGAGACTGAGGGCCACAGACTCCATGGAAGGTATTCCCCTCCAGAAAGAGAACACAGCACCACACTCACACTGAGAAGAAGGGAGTCCTGTGGTCACAGACACCAAAGATGACAGAAAGCCACCGAGGGAGTAAAGGGTCACTTTAGACTCCTGGCCCCAGGAACCCAGCTAGCCCCTGTGCTGTCCCTCATTTATCCAGCCACCGACCCCTGCTCTGTTATCACTTACAGAAAATCAACTGGCTTTACTACTGGTAGATGTCCCTCATGTGACTCTTCTATTTCAAAAAACAGCTTAACAGCCCACCTCATTCCCAGGACAGTGAGCCTCCTCCTGATCCTCCAGGCCCACCTCTCCTTTCCCCATGGTGTCAAAGGTGGGAGAAGGGCTGTAAACAGAGCTCAGTGGCACAGCACTTGCCTAGTGTGCTAGAGGCCCTGGTGCCATCCCGTGGCACCACCCCCCCAAAAAGGTGGGAGAAAACACAGGTCCTCTGCCATCTCCCCAAAGAGGTGTAGCTGTGATCAGTCCCAGCTCTGGAGGCTCAGTCCATCGCCATGCCCAGTGCACGAGGCTCTGTTCTGAGACAGATCGTTCTCCCATCACTGGTGGCCACCAGCACACTTCCAGTGTGGCCTGTACCCATTAAGGCCACACCCTCCTCTAACTTCAGGTGCATAAGGA